TAACCGATGCAAGGATAGGCTGCCCTTGTCTTGGGATGGTCTTAGCAACACCAGTTCCAACATGAAAGGTCACCTTATGTGCTGGTCTGATTGGGGCAAATCAAATGGCCTCAAATGCAAAGCGGAGGACAAGGGTCCTCGTCGGTTCAATTGGAGCAGACATATACCTGACCTTAAGGACAGTATAACTGATCCCTCTACTGTTAGATGTTATTTTACAGTCCAACTGCAACAACTCTACAGTGACCCAGCCTGTGCTTTCCAGACTGTTGATGAACACAGGACCGAGATTACCTCAGGACAGGGCCTCATGAAGGGCAGTCATGCTCAGCCTGACGTCATGTTCATGGCCTGGGTCCTGGACAAACTGAAGTGAACATCAAGAACGTTTGTTTCGTGATGAACTCTCTTCCAGTAGTGCTCTCACTGCCCATTTATTTTTCAAGGACAGTGGACTTCTTTGACAAAATCTTCAGGAGAGACTCTCAAGTCAAAGTGAGTTGGGACAGGCCAAAACCTTTGGACCTGGTAAAAATTACTGAAAATTAAAATTAAAAATTGCTTCTTGCACAGAACACCAAGATACCCGCAGATCTTCCTGCATACTGCACCAAACAGGACAATAAAGTTGAACTCAACATGTGGTGCGATAAAGGATGGAGCAAGCTCTTAGAAAAGCTTGAGGGACATCGACAGACAAAATATTGGTACTCAGGCCCAGATAAGAAGAAAGCTAACGGCTGACGCGTCATCCGTTGCAGCGCCACTCCACGATCTTTGCCTCGTCAAAAAGGATTCGGATTTTCTCACCGCTTGGAACGACCGTAGCGAGGCGCCTTTTCGATCCGTCAAGAAGGCCATCTGGTTGACGGTGTTCAATATTTGGCAGGCTAACACAATATTCTGGCGGATGCTTTATCCAACGTTCAGCCCGACAAGCCTCTCGAGGACGACGAGCCCGAGCAAGCTTTCCCTTGCTCTCCACGATCTGCGTCAAAAGGATTCGGACTTCGTCACCGCTTGGAACGACCGCAGCGGAACGACTGCAGCGAAGCGCCTTTTCGATCCGTCAAGAAGGCCATCGCCGACGCCACGCTGATTGCTCACCCATGCCCGGACGCGGAGACGGAAGTATGTACAAATGCCAGCGAAACCGGTGTTGGAGCGGTTGTTGGACGTAGTTGGATGTTGGATTTGGACGCTCGGACGCGGTGCCGGAAGTATGTACAAACGCCATCGAAACCGGTGTTGGAGCGGTTCTGGTGGGAAATGACGGAAAATGGAGGCCGTTGTTGTACTGGTCACGGAAGTTTTTGTAAGCGCAATCGGTCTATTCGGCGTTCGACAGGGAGCTGCTGGCCATGTCCAGAGCAGCATGCTTTCGAGTCTCAGCAGGTTGTTTTGGACACCGACCACAAACGGCGCGGTCGGAAAGGCGTCAGACGACTTTACGACCCTTCAAAGACGTCACCTGTTACGCGTATCCTGTTACGGTTGACGGAGTTCAATATTTGGCCGGCGAGCACAATATTCTGGTGGATGCTTTGTCCAGGGTTCAGCCTGTCAAGCCTCTCGAGGACGACGAGCCGACCCAGCTTTCCCTACGGCCAACGGTGTCGTCAGCGTCGTGGTGGAACAAATTGACGTTACCGAGCTGGCGGAAGGTCAGGTCATCTTTGCCGTGTCAAAATGATTCGGACTTCGTCGCCGCTTGGAACGACCGCAGCGGAACAACTGCAGCGAAGCGCCTTTTCGCTCCGTCAAGAAGGCCATCGCCGACACCACGCTGCTTGCTCACCCACGGCCGGACGCGCAGACGGAAATATGTACAAATGCTAGCGAAATCGGTGTTGGAGCGGTTGTTGGACGTAGTTGGATGTTGGAGTTGGACGCCCGAACGCGGTGACGGAAGTATGTACAAATGCCAGCGAAACCGGTGATGGAGCGGTTCTGGTCCAAAAACACTACGGGAAATGGAGGCCGTTGTTGTACTGGTCACGGAAGTTTTTGGAAGCGTAATTGGTTTATTCGGCGTTCGACAGGGAGCTGTGGCCATGTCCAGAGCAGTTCGTCACTATATGCACGCTTTCGAGTCTCAGCAGGTCGTTTTGCACACCGACCACAAACCGCTGGTCGCAGCGGTCGGAAAGGCGCCCCTTCAAATACGTCACCTGTTACGGTTGACGGAGTTCAATATTTGGCCGGCGAGCATAAAATTCTGGTGGATGCTTTGTCCAGGGTTCAGCCCGTCAAGCCTCTCGAGGATGACGAGCCGACCAAGCTTTCCGCATGGCCAACGGTGTTGTCAGCGTCGTGGTGGAACAAATTGACGTTACCGAGCTGGCGGAAGGTCAGGTTACCGACGACGCTCTGTGTACTTGGTTCGAACAACAGCGCTCCTCCACGGATTCCCCTTATCAACCTCAGCAGATAGACCGCCCCGGTCGCTGATGAATAAGATTTACAAAATTTGCGTCATTGCAGTCAATTTTTAGCAGCCCCGTTCCTTTAACCATCAAATCTGAGAGCAATCCCACTGAAACAGGACTTAGTGGTTCTCTCCTGGACAAGTCTACCACTCAGAGTTGCCCAAGGAACCACCGTAGTGGTTGTTAACACAATTTAACCTATCTCGTTCTAATCCAAAATCCAAGTCCAAACCTAAAATACTATTCTGACAAAAAATTAAATTGCCTGTTCAGCCAAAACCTTAGGATTCGGATTTCGTCACCGCTTGGAACGACCATAGCGAGGCGCCTTTTCGATCCGTCAAGGCTGATGGAACCAGATGGTTGACGGTGTTCAATATTTGGCAGGCGAGCACAATATTCTGGCGGATGCTTTGTCCAAGGTTCAGCCCGACAAGCCTCTCGAGGACGAGGAGCCCGAGCAAGCTTTCCCTTGCTCTCCACGATCTTTGCCGCGTCAAATGATTCGGACTTCGTCACCGCTTGGAACGACCGCAGCGGAACGACTGCTGCGAAGCGCCTTTTCGATCCGTCAAGAAGGCCATCGCCGACGCCACGCTGATTGCTGACCCACGCCCGGACGCGGAGACGGAAGTATGTACAAATGCTAGCGAAACCGGTGTTGGAGCGGTTGGACGTAGTTGGATGTTGGAGTTGGACGCCCGGACGCGGTGACGGAAGTATGTACAAATGCCAGCGAAACCGGTGTTGGAGCGGTTCTGGTCCAAAAACACGACGGTAAATTGTGGCCGTGTACTGGTCACGGAAGATTTTGGAAGCGCAATTGGTCTATTCGGCGTTCGACAGGGAGCTGTGGCCATGTTCAGAGC